TTATCTTTTGCAAGGCCTAAAGTAGATACATGCTCCACATGTGATAGTTTGGCTGTTCAAATAAAATCAGGAGATAAAGCTGCTGTAACAGAACAGGAGCTTCACCATCAGAGAGCAGAGGCTGCTACAAAAGCAATGTCAACTGAGACCAAAAATGCATGTACAAGTAATTGCTATGTTCTTTCCTTCGATATGCAGGAGCAAATGTACATTCCCCAATTAACTCACTCCGAAATGTACTATTCACAATAGCTTGCAGTGTGAACTTAGGAATTCACGATTCCATCACAGGAAAGGGATTCATGTGTTTATGGACTGAGGACTTTGGGGGAAGGGGTGCCTTGGAAATTAGCTCCTGTTTATATACTTACCTTACTAAGGAAATTAACAATCACGGAAAGAAAAAGCTTATTTTGTGGTCGGATAATTGTGGGGGTCAAAATAAAAATCAGTTCATGATCGCCATGTATTTGACCATACTAGCAAATAACGTTTTTGAGGAAATTATTCATAAATTTCCTGTAAAAGGACACACTTTCCTTAATTGCGACAGAGATTTCACAATCATAGAAAAACGTAAAAATGTGTGTAAGACTTATACATTGATGAATGTTGTTAACATCATTACTAGTGCGGCCCAGAAAAATCCATTCTCGTGCATGGTGGTTAAGGACTTTTATGATTTCAAAACCGTTGCCTGTGATAAACTGAACACAAAGAAGTTAGGATTTTCAACAGCTACGCAGCTTCGTCTTACAAGAGAGAAATTTGGTACGGTGATGGTGGCTAAAGGACATAGTGAGCTCGCTGGATGGAGTGAGACTAATGTACTCAAATCTGGAGTTACATTAGAAGACTTTAAAATCATAGACCTTCAAAAAACTAGAACTCACTTTGGTATCCCGGAGAAAAAAAGAACAGATATTGAAAAAATGCTCCCTTATCTTCACGATGATGTCAAGAAGTATTTTAAAGAAAAATTAGGTCAACCAGGGCAAGTTTCTACTGTAGGAAACAACGGTTAAAAATCTGGCACTTAAAACGTTTTGACTTGCAAACCTGATGGTACTTACAACGTTTTGACCTTAGACAGATTTTTGAATTTTTTTTTAAGTAAGCTTTGTTTATTGTTCCTTTGCGATATATTTAATACTTTTAAACTAATTTTTTTCAGTATGTTTCATTATAAGAAATAAACATGTTCGATAAAAAACTGTTTTTTACTCCTCCTGAAAAATTTATAATTTGGCACTTACTACGTTATGGAAATGCACGCTTCATATAAAGTCACCTTCATTATCTTTCAGCTACACATATAGCAACCCTGTATAAACGGTTACTTACAAGATAATATAAAAAATACACAAAGCTAATGTTACCACACATTCCTATTTCGTAATTAGGTATATGTGGTTAAAACAATTAAAATTATACTACAATTAAATTAACTACCTCATCAAGATAATACATTTTCTAAAATTTAATCGAAAAATACCGAAAATAAATATTTTAAAAATCAACAAACCTAGAAAAAGCTTGCAATGTCACTTTATAAGCGTACTCCAAATTCTGGGTCTGAATATATTTAACACTGGGTATATGAACAAAAATAAAAACGTCTAAATTAAGTTTTACATGAAAAATGATTAGGTTTTGGCAAATATTTTCAGCTTGAGCGGGCTTGGCAGTCAGGAATCGTTGTGTTTTTCATAAAAGTGATTTTATCGGTTTTAGTGATGTATATTCTGAGTATCTTGGCTCGTGGATACGTTGAAAGAAATGAAGAAGGAACCATAACTGATAATTTACAAAAAAAGGTTTACTTGTAGGTTTAAACAGGTCAAAGATCCTAAATACGTAAACCATTAAATATTACTTTTAAAGGTAATGGTATTGTCACCAATTGTCAATAAAAGATGCGTCCGATTTAGCAAAAATTTGGCGCCAGAGATTGAATACTATCATCGTGGTCAGTTTAGAAAAACTAAATAAACCAGGAAAATAGTCAAAGTTAGATCATATACTCAAAGCTGAGTAGATGTTAATAAAGTCGAGGATCAGTAAAACAATTCAATTTGGAACCTTTTACCGATTAGCAATAGCAAATTACTAAAACACAAAATATTAGCATGCATGCAACTAAAAAAGCTACCAGAGTAGGGACTGCGACGGTTTAGATGCTCTAACACTCAACGGTGACGCCAAATTTCACTGCCACAATGCCCTAAGATGGCGGTGACATCTTTAAAATGTCTACCGATGCCTGTCTATAGTCAAATGTTTTCTGTAAAAACACAAGGAGTGCTTTTGATCTGTACAAAACTACGTTTCATAACAGATATACTTAATAGGCACAAACTCTTAGAAAAAAATTGTTTTTTTATAAACCATGATACATTAATAGATAGAAATAGCACGAATGCGCAACAGAGGTGAACCAAGGCTGTAAACTTTATTACTAGTAGTAGTATACACATTTGGAAACATAGGATTTTTAATACAATTACCGAGATTCTCTGATTTGCAATTACCCAGTGTAAATTTCAATACAACGTCGCGATGTTTTATAATTAATATGTTTGTTCCACTGGATTGCTGCTCTTTCGCGATTTGTAGCAGCATATTTGGCAGGTGTACGTCGGCAGTGTTGTATCGTCTACCGATTTTCTGTGTTTTTGTGCAAATAATAATGTTTTATTAGTATTTGGCAGGCGTACGTAGACAGTGTTGTATCGTCTACCGATTTTCTGTGTTTTTGTGCAAATAATAATAATGTTTTATTAATAAAAATTTTGTTTGTGTTCATTAGATATTATTTGAATTGGTTAATGTATACTTTAATACATTTATTATTTCAAATATTGTTAATAATTTAAAATTTGAAGGAATGTATATGATATATCGAAATCTACAGATTTTTGCCGAAGGTATCTACAGATTTGGCAACAGTCCCAAGGAACATCGCGGGCCGAGCAAACCAAATACCTTTGCTACTCATTATAACGCCATAAGCTGAAATTAAAGTAGTGTTTCTAACCATAAATTATGTATACAAACGAAGAAAAAGTACAAATTTTAAAATGGTATTTTGGGGGCAACTCGTACGGTGGCATTATAAATTTATTTACTTGTACCTTGATTGTTCTAAATACAATCTATGGGCCTACATGAAGATAGGCCAATAGATGGTTGCGGCACAGAATAATAAACAAACAGAATGCCCACTCTCCACGGAAAATTAAGTACGCGCATCTCCTTCGCGCAGACGTTCCGCCATGTTTTACGAGGATTTTAAAGGGAACCAGTGTTGTTTATGTGGTGTGCATGAAAAAAAAAACAGGTTTATTTGACTTACGGCAATGATAGACATACTATACAATTATATTAACAGTTTTAAATATGATAACATAAATATAATATAATTAAACATAAATGTAAACAATTGCATAACCTCACAAATCATATGTTTGTGTCCTCCTAAAACATGGCGCGCGTGCTGAAAAACTTCAAAGGCGGCATCTGAGAGTGGCCCTTCTGATTGTTTATTATTCTGTGGTTGCGGCGAGATGCGAGATTTTATTAGACGATGATCGTTTGCGTTTGGTAACGTGCGCAGTAGTCGAAAAATATCGACTGGAGGGAGTCCAGTCGAACAAATGAATTAATTATAAAACATCTCGACGTTATATTGAAATTTACACTGGTTAATTGCAAATCAGCTAATCATTGCATTGTTATAAAAATCCTATGTCCCGTCAAACAAATTCCCAATCCGTATATACTAATATATACTTGCTTCAAAGACTTATTTACACAAGCACTTGCTGGAATGTAAATGGTGTTGCACAGAAGGGAAAGAGACAAATAACTTGTTCGCCATTAAGGGAGAAAGACAGCATATTTGGGGCAAATACTCAGAAATAAAAAGTAAGAGTTGTTGCAGCTGATTATGAAGGGTAAAATCGAAGGACAAAGGGGTCCTGGCAGACGACAAATAACCTGGCTGAAAAACATTCGCGACTGAATCGGGTTAAACAAGAGACGATTTTGAGAAAAGCAAAAGATAGAGACTATCTTCTGCTTTTTGCAGACGAATTTGCAATGGTTACAAAGACAAAGCCAACGAAGACGATACATTAATTAAAGAAGTGGGAATTTATTACGAAATTATCTGTTAAGTAGTAAGTGAAAATGGGCCATAATACATTTTCTATATCGTAGTATATTCTTTGCATGCAATGATTATATATTTTAAGTAATATTCTAGGCTTCAGATAATTCTAGCATTTTCTTCAATTTAAATCTGGAAGAATCTGTTTTTTTGACGAAAGCAATAAACTTGGTTGATGACTAGCGACGGCCCAGATGGAAACCACCGTAAGGTCCGGCCTGTAACCAACGACATGTGATGTACTGGATCTGCTAAAAATACCAGGTTCTTCAGTAATCTACTTCTTAACTGGTAAGAAAGCAAACCAAACAAAGAAATAAAATGTACAATACAATTTCTTAAATATTGCCGTGATGTATAAAGCTGCAAGAAATTCATTTTATTGCTTTCAAATTTTTCTATAATATGTTCTGTCCTCAGTTCATTAATTCCTTTTCTTTCAGATTCTTCTTCAATCCCATCAGCAGATGTTAATTGAATCTACCCCTTGTTTTCTAAATTAGTGACTGCTTCATACATTTCTTTCACGCAGATAACACATTTTAAATAATAAAGTGTAATATATTTGTATTTAATGATGATACGTTTAATAACAAGCTCAAGCCAGTTCAAACAAACATTTTGATTATCATATTTCCCCATTTCTAATCATTTTTCAAAGTGACATCGCTCAAGCCAATACCGTTTATCATCACTTTTTCTTCAACGCAGAGCCCTAAAAATAATCTTGTAAAATACAAAACAAATATAAAAATTGTAATAACATTTTTTGTAATACTTTGTAAAATAAAGGTATCTCAATTGGAGGCCCTGCTAATGACAGTTATTGTTATGGATGATTACAATAGGGATGTTCTGAAGATGTGTCCTTGGAGTTACGAGCCATATAACCTACTACGACTCCTAGTATTAAAACTACAAATAAGGTCACCATTTGGAAATATTGGGTTATTTTCACAGACTGTCGCAACTCTATTTGCGCGGTTCTTATCTCGGAAATCGTCGATGACAATTTACTGACGCTGCTTTGGTCGGTTTCAGCAACAGTTGGCGCAGTCACAATTACGTTGCCGTTCTTGGTAACTTCTCCACTTTGGATGCATTTCAGTCGATGCTGGTACAGTTTCCTTCCACTGGTATTCTGAAAGCATAAATACATTATAACATCCTATATATTTAACTTATTTTCGTAAATTTATTGGATTTGTATTATAATAGAAATATTAGTTTATATTTGATTTTATAGTAATTATGTCATCAAATTTCCACTTCGATTCAGATGATAACATAACAGACTTGGATTATGTTCCATCAAACGAATCAAGAAGTAGTGATGGCAAGTATTTGTCATTATTTAGATAATAGATCCGTGTCTGTCCCAACTTGTGTGGAGGAGGAATTCTGAATTAAGTAGGGACCCTTCTGTACCACGGCGCATTCCACTGGCTGATAGAGAAATGTCCTACAGATATGTAGGATAGGTGTGAATAAGATTTTACCAAATAAGCAGCCACGGACAAACTAAGGACATGGCATAGGGCAGCAGCTATGACATTAGTTCATTAAGGCTATAGCGGAATGATTTCTACTGTTGACTTGATGACATGAATGTATCGAATGAGTTAGATATGCTTAGCGATCCGATTAGCGATCGGCGCTCAGTTGGTTTCGGGCCAACTAGTATCAAATGGGCTACCGGGCATGTGTGTGTGAGCAACCAAGCAAGACATGCAAAATTGGCGCCTGGGAGAAAATCAGATTTTCAGTTAAAAAAAGCAATGGGAATAGCAACCTGAATGTTCGAGGATTATTGCAACCAGGCAAATTGCATATACTAAAACGAGAAGTCGAAAGAGAGGATATAGAAATATGCGGACTTTTAGAGGCCCATTGGAAAGGACAAGGACATTTCTGAACGGCAGATCATGTTGTATACATATCGGGAGCAAATAACACAGGAAGAAATATTGTTGCAGTTATGGTGACTAAAAATGTTTCACAATACGTGTATGATTACCAACCGATAAATGATAAAATAGCCTTACTAGCATCACCAAACAAAATGCCCATTCTTCAGGTCTATATGCCAACCTCAGACGCGTTAGACAATGAAGTGGAAGACGTATACTCCATTATTGAAGACACAATAAGAAATATTTCATCTAAAGAACCACTCATAATGGTAATTTATATGGGTAAATTGTTGATGCATAGTAGAATATAAATATTCCCAGCATCGCTCTGAATGACTTGATTAAGCTTGGGTATACAGTTTACTTTAATTACTATCGATACATTTAACTTCATCTTTCCTCACTAGAGGTCTCTAGTAGCATACTCTGGTAATTATTTTCCTATAATTGCCAGAGTAGTCGGTGCGTTTTGATTTAGTTTGAGTCTTATTACCAACTCTCTCTACGGGTAGACCCAGAAACACGTGTTAGGTGAAAAATATATGTTGATTTTGGTTGATCCTATATTTCCCGGCAAGTGAAAACTATGTAGTTATTCATGTTTCGACGAGCTACCCCAGATTAAAAACAAGGGGCTTCTAGCTGCAATGGAAGCCGAGATAATGTCGGTTAATAATAACTCGGTTAATAATATTTCCTACGTGTTTCAATTTGAGTTATCCTCGCCACTTTCCTATATCGATCTTTCGAAAGTACCTTCGTTTCTTTTTTGCCGTGAAATCGATTATTTTTGCACAACCAGACTGGGCTATAAGTCATTTGAGAGTCTAATAAAATCTTCATTATTAGGTAATACATATTATGAGCATGACCATCATATTATACATTCATTTGTCTAAACAAAAAACAAATTCCATAAAAACTTTTGTCTGTACAGAGTTTCTAGTAAAGTACTAGTTTGCTGAGAACTTGATTATTTGACTTACACTACTTTTGCTCTCAGCGGCTCATTTAATTTAAACATGCCACAAAAACAGTTTCAGAATTCTTAATGATCCAAGGCAATCATGATTTTCAACTAAATCTACTCACTGACAGCCAATAAATCGATAAATATGTTCAATTTCTTTTTAAATAAATCCTGTGTGAAAGTTTTATTCTAGTACCAACTTTGGAGGATCTCCAGTACATATTCGACAGCAATGACGTCATGGGTAAACAGTAAAAGTTAAACTCAAATATGAAAAAACACCACTGTCAAATTTAAAAATGGGGAAGCAAATACTAACGAATATTAGAACCAAACTTCAAATTAGAGAAATAGTCACGGTTAATATACTTCCAAACACTCCTGTAGATGGCGACTGCATAAACTTTATTATATTATTTGTTGATTTCTACACATTTAAATTACAAATTTGAATCACAATATTATTTATAATACTAAATATATTCGTAATATAATATTCGTTGCAAATATTATATTTTTAAACTAATTTTGACTGGTGTGACATCAAAGACGTAGCCACCATATTTCGATAAGTAAAGACTACCGACAACGTAGGACTAAACACAAGGCACAAGAAGATGTGTTTAATTTCTAAACATTATAATATTAATACGAAACTAAAACTCACCTTCCACAATTCGGGTAAATCTAAATTATCTAATTCACTGGTTTCCATTGGGGTACTCATTACAAGAAATTTATCACGTGATAGACCTCCAAGTTGAAATCCGGGTAATAGCGTTACATTAACAACGGCAGTCTCACCAGGGGCCAAACAACCTGTGCTTGGTTTAACCCTGAATTTTTCGGGGGAAGTTGTTTTAAGCTGAAAAGAAGGTTATCATATAAATACAAAGTTCAAAATTAAAATACAAAGTTCAAAAGTTGTCAAAATATCCTCAAAGTTCAAATATCAATAGTTAAGTTAAAATAATAAAGAAACAGGCCAAAACACTTAGTTATTGTAGAATAATCTTACGTATTGATTGACATAGCATATTCGCTGTGTGCAAGTACTTGGAGGGGATACGAGAAAGGATCGTGCGCGTGCAGCGGTGAAATCGTGCAACTTTGTATATTTCATGCATATTTCATGAGTAGTTATTAAAGAAAATGTAATTTCGCCAATGCTGTGTTATAAATTGTAAAAATACAACAAAAAATAATAAATTCAAGTTCTATCGGTTTCCAACTTCTAAGCACAAATTATTGCAACGAGAAAAGTGAACTTATATCATAATAAAGCAGAAGTAAGCAACATAACCCAAAGTCTGCATTCTTACACTCAATTTCGTTATAAGTTTGACGTGAAAATTAAATTAAAGTTCACTTTAAAGAGTAAATTTCAATAATAATCATGTTTGTTCAAGTTTGTTTACATTTTTTTTTTCGAATTTAAAAAAATGCTAAATATTTCTTCAAGTTCGGATTACGCCACCAAAAAGTTGAAAGGAAAAAAATTAATTATTTAAACCAATGATGTACGTTTCTTTGAAAGGTTTGGATTGGTAAAAGATACAGTTATGCAATTTAGTCATGAACATTAGTTAAAGTGTACTTTAGGTTGTCATTATGAAATCAAACGCTAATGTCGCTACATAATATTGACACGATATGCAATTAATAATTATTGTATTTTACAGTGGATATAATATAGTCGGTTCGCTATATTTACGCTATATTTTCGATATTTCGAATTAAAAATTTTATTGTAAGTACCCAGTTTTAATTACCTGCTCTTTGGGGAAATATCAACTGGTCAAATGAAATGAAAAATAATCCATAACTTTTTTTAATTAAATAATAATGGAAAATCTTTTATATAATTGACAGTATCATAAGGAGAATTACTTCATTAATGGAGTCTAATGTGGCTAATATAAACCTAATAATAATTTTATATTACACTTCACACAGAAAATATGGTCTATGTATATTTGTTCCATGGAGAGAATTTCTAATGAAAAATAAAAAATTTAACTGCAAAAAAATAAAAATCAGTCATTATCATCAAAAATATCATAATCGTCATCATCATCACTGTCATCACCATTAATTGTTATTATGATTGGACTTATTTCGTTTATTTTATTTTCACGAGTCCACCAATCTTCTATTAGTTTCTCGCACTTGAATATACAGTTGCACCACACTTTGGAGTTACAATTGAAAGTGCCTTTCGCCAAGTTTCCCGAACTGCGTCGTCGCTATAACCGTTAGGCCCAATATGGTTGTCATAATATTGTTTTGCTATTCCCCATATATATTCGATGAGATTAAACTGGCAATGATACGGTGGCAGACGTAAAACTTGATGACCGTAACTTTCAATATTCTGATCCACAACAAAGGTTTTTGGTTTTGCGTGGATATTTGCCAAGCGTAATAATTCTGATTTTAAAATATGTTGTGTAAATGGTATATGTTCCTTTGTCAACCATTCTTTAATTTTATTAACAGTCCAAGAATTCGTTGGACTTTTGTTTAATACTTCAGAATGGTAAGGTGCATTGTCTAAAATAATTACGCTGGGCTCACTTAAACCTGGGAGAAGTTTTTCATGTAACCATTTTACAAACATTTCTGTGTTCATATTATCGTGATAGTCACTTGATTTTGATTTAGATAAAAATATTAGATCAGCACCTTCTATAAAACCCGATTTCCCTCCTGCATGTAAAATTATGTGTCGCTTCCCTTCTCCATCAGTATGTTTGATAGACTTTACGTTATCATCTTGCCATATTCTCTTGGTTGCACCCCTAGAAAATATCCATGTTTCGTCTAAATATATAAAATTTGCCCTTTCTTCTTTTAATTTAGAATATTTTCTTAGAAAGTTAATTCTTTTATGCACAACAGAACTTCGTTCACAAAGGGCTTTTCTGTTATCCTCCGTTTGAAATTTGAAACCCAAATTATGTATCACTTGCCATAGATTGTCCATTCGGTCATTTAATTCGAGAATTGTATTTAAGGTCACATGTTCCTTGTTGGCTCGCATTCAATAAATGGTATCACGAATTTCAAATTTTTTTCCATCTGGAATATCTTTCGTTTTCAATGATAGGCGAGTTTTTCGGTGATCTTCTTTCGGCCGTTCATTATTGCGATTTTGTAATACTCCTCTTAGTTTGGTTTCACTAATTCCTAGAGCATCACATACGCGTTGTTGAACAGACATTACCGATTTTAAAGGATCGCCATTTTCTTTTTCATCCGTAAAATACTTATGTACACTACAAATTAGACTATCTACATCTAACACACGTTTAGGCATTTTTAAATATTTCCACCAAACATACAATGTCAAGACTGGTAAAGAATCAATTCAACTGCAATATTGTAACAAATTTATACCTACCCTAATGTTATTTTAATGTATTTTAAAATATGACCATTAATGCAGTTTTTACCTAATTTTCTGGGAAGTCGTTTACTGCAACTGGTTATCAATGAGTCATTAGCATAATTTTGTTAATCCGAAACCCGCGTAAATATAGCGAACCGACTATAGTTGGTTGAAAAGGTATTTTGTGATTTATTTTTGGAATCCAGTTTTTATTATTGCCTCTATATTAATACTAATATTGCAATTTAATAATTAATTTGATTTACCACATACAATATTTACCTTTTAATAACCTCATAACCTTCGCTGATTTATGACACTAGGTGTCGCTCTTCGGAACTTGCACATAGCGACTAGATATATCATTCTTTAATATTTAAGGCAAACTTTAAAAGTCAAATTACGGAATAGATTTGAAATCTGAATTTGATTCTGAACTAGAGTGACTCAAATTATATAGTGGGTGTACACTAAAATACATACCTTATAGGAGACATGGATACTATCATCTGCATTTTGAAGTTCCAAAGTACTAATGAGTTCATTTCCATCTTTAACGAATGTGATGATACCTGATGGAGAAACTTTGAGGTATCCTCCATCTAAAAACAAATAAAATGTTAGCAATAAAATCTATCTATAAAAATCAAGGACGACAAGTCACGCTGTTTGTCCGATATGGTAACTACGCCACCTAGGAAAGATATCCGAACTATCAACATCTGAAATTTCAATCATATTTTGTTCTTGAAACGATACGGTTTCAAAACCAATAAGAAATATTTATTAAATAAATATATTTATTTAATAAAGAAATAACATTGTTTATAAAGAAACAAAGGCTTTAGAAAATTTATAAAATAATTTGTATTGTCTTTAAATGATTTAGAGCGTGTATTACTGTTACATAGTTCATAACGGCATTGCTTAGTTGTTCCCTTTTTGGTTCCAAACGGTATCAAACTGACATGCTAATTTAGACACTTTTTTTTCTTTATTTGAGTATTTCTTTTTTTTTTTCAATAACTAGACTTTTATTAGTAATTTTTATCCCAACTATGTGTTCACATGCACTTTATTGTTACTTATATTACTAACCTAATCACCTAACATGTTTGGTTAAAAAAAAACTCCACGGAAAAAATGGCTGACACTATGTTATAATAAAAGTCTTATTGATGAATCAAATATTTTTTAGTGTATTGTAATGGGTGTACTTGACGTATGATACATCATTGGGAAGGAATGAGGGTAGTGAATAAGTAGAGACAGAAAAAACAAACATGGCGGCATTGCTAAAAGGGCAATATATCATATCTCCGTTGTTATTGGTCAGATTGGAGTGTGTGATGTGTTAAATGGAAGGGGAGGAAATAACGAATATATTAAGATAAAAAAAAACAAACAAGGCGACTACCAAAAGGTCAGTACACAGTACTGACTGTAACTTCATTATTAATGAACATATAGAGATATACGAAATATTATAGGGTACTATGGATAAAAATAGAATTACTATAATTCAAATTTTGATTTATTAACTTAAAGAAGGCCTCTGGCTGAGTACAAAATAAACAACTGACCAAATCCTAACAATTAAACAAATAAACAACTAGCCGAACCTAAAATATGACACATAAAATAAAACGACGTGAGACTTATAGTAGATATAATGTATATAGCGTGCCATCGAAAATATACATACAGATTGAAAGAATTTAAAACGGATCATACAATTTAATATATGTCTGTTTGAACTGCATTTGAAATAGTGGACCAATATAAAACTTGGACAAAAATAAATCCATACCTGGGTTTAGACATTGTATAAAATATCGTTCAACTATCTGACTCGCAACAATGTTGTTTGCGTAACAATGTTGCCAATCGCCGTGTAATAATCCGATTTGCGGATCTTTTTGAGAGTTATATCTTCTTTGTATCTTTAAATAAATCGGATATTTGCCTATATTTTTCATTGTATTTACCAATCTACTACAACAGACTAATAACAATAATAAACTTAATGGTTTGTAGTTATTTTCTTTTTTTCTTGTCAATATTTTATGGGTAACACCTTATTTGAGAAACATCTAAAGGCATGACGTTGGCAACACCGCTCAAAGAAGGGCTTATCTAAAGAAACGATAACTGATTTGACAGCATAATAAAATCGTAGATTTATGTGTAGCTTTCAATTTTTATGATTTCAGAATGCAGCAGCCCGCTGAAGTATTTGATTTTTATAATATAATTATTTGACAACCTTTTGTTGGCCAACCACCTACAGCAAAATTGAGCCGAAATACATAATATTTCGTATGTTCCGAATTTATTTCGTTCAATCTGTATACAGGATATAGTAAAAAAATGATAAGAGTCAGAAGAGTACCAGATAATATTTTATATTTACTTGGTTTACATGCAAGAAGTTTATTATTTTAAAAATTTAACGAGTAACTGTAGATGGCAATTGATTGGACCTCCCGTCGCATGCTACGGCAAAGTTACTAGGAAAAATATAATAAAGAAATGGTTACATTACACAATAATATCAATTTTGATAATTTTAATTTTAAAAATTCTATAATATATTAAAATACCAAATAATAGCGTAGCAATACATATTAATAAACCTGATTAGCAGTTTGATTTTTCTGAAACTGCCCAAAAAAATTACAACCAAAAAAATTACCAGCAAAATTGAATTACAATAAGCAACAAAATTACCAGCAAAATTGAATTAGCAAATGAACATGAAGGCTTCAGATCTGAAGATATTTGAATACAAGACTTGTATTTGCGGTGAGACAAATCGTGAAAAAATCATTGGAATATAACATCCCCGTCTATGGTTGCTGCGGATTTATAGATCTAAAAAGGTATTTGGTCGTGTGGAACATGATGATGACACGAAATTAACAACCTGTAAAGGTAGAGAGAGCCATACGTTAGTGAGGCTCATTAACCCCTCTTATGTTTAACCTTATTGTGAACGAAAATTCGAAGTACAAAATAAGATATAAATTGGATGAAGAAATTATCTCTGCTCCCCACATGGGCTCCCACTTTTGCTTCCCTCTAACCAGGGGAGCACCATCAGATCGGAAATTTGGAGCACCATGATGTTTTTGCTGGGAATTAAGAAGACCAGGACCATACTGTTTCATCCTCAGTCCGACAACATGGTAGAAAGACATAACTGGACCATCAACAACTAGCTGTCACTGTTTGTACATGAAAACCAGAGAAACTGGGACTAATTGTCCCAGTTTGTTTTTGCTATTCCGCCGAAGCCCCCATCATGAAACAACTGGTTACACTCCAACAATGTTATTGACTGGTCGAGAGATGAAGCTTCCCATCGACTTCCTGCATGGAAATCTACCAAACGGAGAAGCGGACCAAGAGAGACACCCAGAGTACGTCAGCGGCATAAAGGATCGACTAGTTTCGCCAGGAATAAGCTGCAACTCACCAGTGACCGGATGGAGGTTAGATTCGATCAGAAATATCTAATCACTAAGAAGATAAACGACCTTGTATAGCGTGCGACTGACGCAACGAAGTAAGCCGAAGGTTGTCCACCTGGACAGACTGTGTCATTATGAGAAACAGAATCTACCGATCTAATATATTTAGGTACTATTCGGGGCGAACAGTATGAAAGAAGGAACCGATATAAGTCAGAATAAAATAGGGAAATGAGAGAGAGAGAGAGAGAGAGAGAGAGAGAGAGAGAGAGAGAGAGAGAGAGAGAAAGAGAGTAGGTTTAAATCAAGACAGATAAAATATGTTCATATACTTCTTCTAGGAGTATAATCTCACAAAATGGAATGGACAGATCAGAATCAAATGCTTGTGTGATAATAGATGTTTATTTTCTACATGTAAAAGTTTTTAAGAAATATGAGTAGAAATTACAAATTTTACAAAGAAACATAGAGAAAAGCAGGGAAAGATACAATCGAGAATTTTGTAGAGAGTGAACATCAACAATGTATAAACAAATAGGCCGATGAAAAGGAAATCTACAGATTCTTGCACGATTAACATGGCGTCCTTTACAATTATCAATAAATCGCAGTCTAGTAGTTACAACAAATGCTAATGTTGATATTTTATAAATGTCTTTAATAAACGTCCAAAATGACCTTAGAGATAATGTTGTTTCTCTATAATGTCCGTGCCGATAAAAATTTCGAGTTTATCTAATACATAAACATAAGGAATTGATTAATTCGAACACGCTAAACGAAACTTTTATCGCATTGTCCTATTATCAAAATTAGATACCTAAAAAATCAATATACAATGCTTATAAATAGTGTTACAAGATTGTATTGCTATGTAATTTATGAATATGGTAAAAAGTATATTTGTGGCTTATTTTAAAAATATTCCACACTACTTTAACCTTCATCTGACAATACCAAGTTAAAGTGCGCGAGGTAGAATCAAAATACAGTACCTAGAGTACGTATAGGAATTTGACCGAAGAAATGGAATCTAAAAAATATGTGGCTCATTGGTTGTTGCGGTTGCTCACAACGAAACAAAGCCTTATTCTTTGGAGTCCTTTTGGCGATCTTTTGGAACGTTTTCTCTACACTCTGAAGAATTTTTTGAATCGTTTGATAACAATACACAAAAACTGGATACACCATTAATTACCAAAACCAAAGAACAGCCCAAACATTATCTTAAACAATGTACCAGGTTTAAGGGTGTGTAAGGTTTCTCCACATCAAAGACGTCAAAAACTTTTTGGCATAAAGAAAGTTATGGCAACTGCGTTTTACGATTGTCATAAAATTATTTTGATGCGCACCTTAAAAAACCCAACATTTTCTTCAAACAACATCACAGAAGGCTATACAATTGAAGTTCACCAGCAGACAGAGAAGGTATAGAATTGTTAGCAATCATATTGACTTTATTTTGATCGACCACAACTTTAAGAAGTACCTAAAATCTACCAAAACATACCCTGGAAATTACAGTAATCACAATCCAGTTATGATGGATTTTAGACTAAAAAGTTAACAAGAAATTTCACTTCAGGAAAGATGCGGGACTTTTAACGTCCATTAGAAAATGAAAGAAATGACAGATAGACACAAAAAGCGACCAGAAACAATTTTAAAAAATAAATTACGTTGAACAGTCACTAAAAGATGTCAACGTTTTCTGCCACTGAAACTTTCTCAAACAATTTTTTATAGAAGGAAACTTGACTGGTGACAAGTACTTAGATTTACTAAATAATCAAATTATATTTCTGCACGACAGATTGGCCAGTTACGACAAAATTTTTGGTTTCAACAAGATGGAGCGCCCCCCATTATTGTCAACGATTTGGAGATTTTTTTAATGCGATTTTCCAAATCGATAAATTTGACGTAGAGGATTCAAAGAGTGGCCTGCTCGTGCTTCGGACCTTAGCCCGTTAGATATTTTTTTGGGCTATCTAAAATTACGCGTTTACATCAGTAACGTGATTGCAGGAGTTGAGACAAAGAATTATTGATGAATGAGAACTAATCCGTGGACAAGTCCTGAAAAGAGTGACACGAATTTATTATGCGCTTATACATTGTCAGGTTGTGAACAGATGAAACTGATAAAACAAAATGAAACATTTTGAACATTTGTAATTTTTTTAAATCAATACTCTCATTGGTATTAATAAACAAATATACCTATTATTTTAACTAAAGCTATTTATTTCTCGTTTTAACAAATTTGGTCTACCAAACTTGGTATGTATGAATTAGGAAATATTAGACAAATAAACATTGGACAGACAGAATTGGACAGACATTAAAACAGCGTTAATGAAACCAAGCATAAGTCACCTCCATAAAAGTAAAGAATATAAAAAAGAATGGATGACAGATGAGATACTGAACTTAATGGATGAAAGAAGAAAACAGAAAAACAAAAAGAACCAGAAGTATAAAGAGATACAAAAAGAAATTCGTCTAAAAATACGCACAGCTAAAGAAAACTGGTACGGGGAAAAATGCGAAGAAATCGAACAACTACAAAATAAACACGACAGCTTTAATGCACATCGGAAGATCAAAGAGTTGACGAGGAGACAAATTAACAGACACAACATATTAGTAGACGAGAGTGGAAACATTATTATGGACACAGAAGAAAAATTAAGAGTCTGGAAACAGTATATAGAACAACTGTTTAAAGATCAAAGAGACAATGTAGATAACGAATACATAAACAGTGACACAGGACCAGAAATAACAAGAGATGAAGTGGAATATACGATTAAAGAAATGAGGTCGGGGAAGGCTACAGGCCCAGATGAACTACCAATAGACATAATTAAACTCATCAAAGGCAACAACTTAATAAAGATCGTGGAACTATTTAACAGCATTTACAAATCTGGTATCATACCTAATGAATGGCTAGTAACAACAATAATAGCCATACCCAAAAAGTCTAATGCGAGACAATGCTCGGAACATCGCACCATCAGTCTCATGTGTCATATATTAAAGGTCTTCTTAAAAATCATTCATCGGAGAATATATAAAAAATTGGAAGTTGACATCGGACCCTCTCAATTTGGCTTTAGAGACGGACTAGGAACTAGAGAGGCACTGTTTGCTTTTAATGTTCTAACACAACGTTGCTTAGACGTAAATCAGGACATATTTGTGTGTTTCCTAGACTATAACAAAGCATTTGATACAGTAAAACATAGGCCACTGATGCAAATACTGGAAAATAAAAATATTGATACAAGGGACATGCGTGTGATAAGGAATCTATACTACAAACAAGAAGCTACAGTACGAATTAACAGCTCGATATCAGATAGAATACAGATCAAAAGAGGTGTTCGGCAGGGCTGTGTGTTGTCTCCAACCTTGTTCAATGTCTACGCGTCTAAGTTATTAAAAAAGCTCTTATGAACGAAAAAGCCGGAATAAAGATCAACGGTCACCCCATTTGCAATATCCGATATGCTGATGATACCGCGCTCATAGCAGAAAATATTGAAGACCTACAGATATTACTAAACAAAGTGGTAGAAGCAAGAGAAGAATTTGGTCTGTCACTGAATATAAAGAAGACCAAATTCATGATAATTACAAAGAAATGTATCAATAATATCAACTTACATGTAGGACAGAATCTCATTGAACGAGTACAAAATTACAATTACCTCGGAACAAATATTAACGAGTCAAACGAATATACCAGAGAAATAAGAATAAGAATAGAGAAAGCCCGCAGTGCCTTTATCAATATGAAACAAATGTTGTGTAGCCGTAACCTAAGCCGAAAGCTGAAAATACGAATGCTTAAATGTTATGTTTTCTCGGTCCTGTTGTATGGGGTGGAGGCGTGGACACTAAATAAGCAATGTATGGGTAAGCTGGAGGCATTTGAGATGTGGGCGTACCGAAGAATGTTAAAAATCTCCTGGAAGGATAAGATAACTAACCAAGTTGTATTAGACAGGATGAACAAACAAAAGGAGGTCGTATTGAGTGTTAAAATGAGGAAACTACAATACCTGGGACATATTACACGTGGGAATAAATATCAACTGTTACAACTAATTATGCAAGGAAAGATTGAAGGTAGGCGCAGCATAGGTAGGAGAAGAATGTCGTGGTTGAGAAACCTCAGGGAGTGGTTTGCTTGCACTTCCATACAATTGTTCCGAGCGGCAGCCTCCAGGGTCAAAATTGCCATGATGATAGCCAACCTTCGTAGCGGAGATGGCACGTGAAGAAGAAGAAGAAGACAAATAAAAAGGAAACACTGGCAGAGCTTCTCAAACCTAATGAGAACATCAAAAACTGGGAAAGAAATAGAATAGTAGAATGAAATGATCACATAAGCCGAATGACAACAAATACAATAGTAAAGACGACAAGATATGGTTCCCCCATAGGAAGACGATCAGTAGGAAGACCCCGAAAACGATGGTATGACAACCTACTGGAGGCACATTGAAAAACAGAGAGAGTCACGTCTACGTAAAAAGAAGAAGTTATTTTAAAATCTACAAATATATACAGGGTGTCCCAATTAAATTAAATATGTTGAGGATATTTCCGGTAAAACCGGAAGTATAGTAGTAACAAAAAACATAGCATAAGATGCGTTACAAGTCATTCTACTTGCACGCAAAGTTTCATAAATATATAAATATAGTCTTATTGGTTCCATACTTTATCCCAACTACTTTTATTTACTAAGAATATAAGAAAATATTTTGATTGTTAATGGGTGTCGAATGTGACACCGTTAATTTAATCAGTTGACTTATGATTAGAAATTAGACAATTAGAAAAAAAAATCTTTATTGACATTGAAAAGTTTCTGAATCTCCATTCATTGTACTATTTACTTAAATCTAAAATTTCATCGATAACATTTAACCATTAATCCAAGAGACTTTAGAAAAATAATTCTATTCAGAGATATAGAGAAGATAAATTGAAGAAAAATTTACAGCAAAAAGCAGAAACGAATTAATCGACAAAAGTAAGACGATGTTTTAGCGATTAAGAATACTTTTATCTCTCTGTGGCAGAAAAGAACTAGCCCAACAAAAGATTATTGATTAATTAGATTATGTTTTGTTTGTGTACAAAATATTTGTTCCAATACACAAAAAGATATGAAGCAATTTGTTGATTTTGTTGAGGAATCATGACAAAGTTAGAAATAATTCACGTTTAAAGCTTAATATCACACTAATATTTCGCAAATTGTTTTGAAATATGTAATTTTAAACAATTAATATGGTTTTATAAAAAGAAATTGTGCATTTCTTACACAAATTTTTGTTTTTATGAATTAATATTACAACCTGAACAATCAAAACATATCGTATTATATTCCTTTCGGAAGACGGCAGACGCGATAAATCGGGAGTAAATACAAAATTTATTTCCGTGCATTTAAATATAACTAAATTAAGTTTAAATATTGTTTATTTTCATTACTTACCAGATTCTTTTTCGGCGTTACCAGCAGCTTGTTCTGACATTGAACCATCGACAAAGTGAACCTGCCACAAATGTATTGATTAGTGTTGTTGGCGGCGTTGTGCAGCGTAGCACAATTTCTTGTTCCTATCAGATTACAGGGTGAACTGCGTGGGAAGTTTATTATTATGCTTTTAAGAAAGACAGTGGAGGGGAATAAGGTGGGCGTATGGTGATATATGGGTATTATTTTAAATTAATTATATTTTTAATATGTAAATTTTTCACAATTTCTTTTTTTCTATCACTCTTTAAAAATTGTCTCGGTAATTAAATGTAGAAGCTAAAAAGGGGAAATTTTTTGTGGGCAAACGAAACAGTATAAAAAGTTCAAATTTGAATCTTTTTTTAACTGGTAAAAGCTTTAAAAAAAATATAAATACTTCAAAAACAGTTGTAAGGTATCGGAAATTTATACCTCAAAATTTAAGAAAAATAATTACTATTTAAACGGGAATAAGCCACAATTAAAGGTTAAAATACGTTTATTGACGTTTCAATTTCCACTTCGGAAATCGTTCTCAAAATACAAACATTAGTACATTAAACAAATTTTGTTTTTTTTATGCTTGGTGAAAAATTCTTATAATTTAATGTTATCTGACTCATGTATATTGGCAAAGTAGACGACTTTAAAATGATATTGCCAATATTGCTGAGTTGCGTTCCTGGGACGACTTTAGTTGTAAGATAGTTTTTAAAAATAAAAAAAAATCATAGCATATGATTCGTCTTTAAAAAGACAAACACATGCCATGATGACAGTAAAATCCTCCTGTTAGTGATTTCATAGTAAATTATGAGGGAAAAAATCTCATAATATTATCCCGACAAGTATTTGGTTGTGCATTTAGTTTACCATCAATAAACACCAAATTCCGATTTTATATGTTTGTTATTTTAAAAACATAAATTATGTATCCTCTATATGTTACTGACTTAGTAATATTGGTATTTTCCTTTTAATAACTTCATATTTTAATATGGGTAACCAGATCCTACTACATTTTGCCGAGGAATTTGCGACACAATTGCTCTCATTTAGCATAATTAGAGCGGCTTCCTATGTTTATTATCCCATCTGGTTACCCATATTCAAAGATGAAGTTATTAAAAGGAAAATACCAGTATTAGTAAGTCAGCAACATATAGAAGATACATCATTTATGTTTTTAAAATAAAAACATATAAAATCGGAATTTGGTGTTTATTGAAGTTAAACTAAATGCACGACCAAATACTTACCAGGTCGGGATAATATGAGGTTTTTTTCCTGGTTTTTCCCTCATAATTTACTATGAAATCACTAACAGGAGAATTTAACTGTCATCATGGCATGTGTTTGTCTTTTTAAAATCGAATTACATGCTATGATTTTTTTATTTTTAAAAATTATCTTACAAGTAAAGTCGTCCCAGGAACGCAACTCAACAATATTAGCAATATCATTTTAAAGCCGTCTACTTTAAAATGTATAATGTATATCTGAATTGTCAATACACATGCGTCAGATAAAATTAAATTATTAGAAGAATTTTTGACCAAGTAACAAAAAAAAAACGATAACAATTTAAAGCTGTGAACGATAGGATAGTACTCATTAAACTGGATGGCAAACCACATAAACTTAATATCATACAAGTTTACGCGCCAACCAGCACATCAGATGACATAAAGATCGAGAAGTTCTACGAAAAACTGGAGACCACAATAGCTAACATACCAAATAAAGAACTTACTATAATATGTGGCGACTTTAATGCAAAAGTTGGCAACACTACACAAAATGACAACTTAAAGAATGTACTGGGAAAGTTTGGCATAGGGCAGAGAAACGAAAGGGGAGACCGTTTAATCGAATTTGCTTTCACAAACAAATACTCTATCATGAATACTCGATTTAAACACCATGTACGTCGACTTTATACTTGGAAAAGTCCTGGAGATAGATTTAGAAATCAAATAGATTACGTCCTCACCAATATTCGCTGGAGATCGTCCATTCAAACAGTCAGATCATATCCAAAGGCGATATGCGGATCCGATCATACTCTCCTCGTAGCTAAAGTAATGCTTAAACTTAAAGCACCCAACAAACAAAGAGAGATAAAGAGGATAGAACTAAGAAAGAAAGACGACCTTCTACAGGAAGTACAGAAAAGTATGCCCTCTGTTCGTAACGGAACATCACAAGAAATATGGGAGACTGTTAAACATTGCGTAACAACACCAGTGGATCACTCAAAGGAAAATAATCCGGTGAAACGGAAACACTAGATAACAGATGAAACTCTTAAAATAATTGAGAATAGAAGAAATCTTTGTAAAAGTGGTGTACATAGTGAAAGGGAAAAAGCTAGTTTAAGAAACCTCAATAAAGAAATAAAACGAAGATGTAAGGCCGACAAAAAACAGTACTATCAAAGTATATGCAAAGAAATTGAGAGACATGGTCAGAATAATCAGCCGAGAGCTCTATTTAGAAAAATACGCTACCTGACAAGAGACTTCAGAGCCAGAACTTGGGCCATTGAAGATAACACTGGAACCCTGAGAATAAACAGAGAAGACATAGCAGAGACATGGAGATCGTATTGCAGGGACCTATATAAAGATGATCAACGCCAAGAGCTTGTTAGCCAAATCTCTGACGAGGTGGAAGAAGAACCTGATAAACTCGAAAATGAAGTAAGACAGGCTATCAACAAGCTCAAATATAACAAAGCATCAGGTCCAGATATGATAACAGCAGAAATGCTTAAAGCCACAGAAGAAACCGGCGTAAAGTTACTTCATCTACTCTGTAACCAAATATGGCATTCCAAACAATGGCCTGAAGACTGGATCTACAATAACGACCATACATAAAAAAGGCAGCTTCCATAAATGCGACAATTATAGAACTATCTCTCTTATATCCCATGCCAGCAAGATAATGCTACATATAATCAATGAGAGACTGAAAACATTCCTTCAAAGAGAAACTCCACAAGAGCAAACTGGATTTACCAAAGGTAGAGGCATTCGAGAACACCTGCTGAATATAAGACAGATAATCGAGAAATCCAGGGAATTCAACATCTCACTATACATCTGTTTTATAGATTACCGTAAAGTGTTCGACAGGGTCAAGTGGAGACACTTATGGCGAATACTAAAAGAAGTAGGCGTACCACAACATCTAATTACGCTTATAACTGAACTATATGAACACACTACTGGATCAGTTAAAGTACTTGACACACTTTCAAACGAGTTTCATCCAGAACGGGGTGTCAGACAAGGATGTATACTATCTCCACAATTATTCAACATATATGGAGAGTATATTATGCGAAGAGCACTTGAAGGATGGGAAAAGGGCATCTCAATAAATGGTCATAAACTAAACAACCTACGTTTCGCAGATGACACAGCCCTTCTTGCAAATAGTCAAGCAAAGCTGGTGGAACTTATACGACTGATCGAAAACGAAAGTCAAATATTTGGTCTGCAATTAAACATATCAAAGACAAAGATCATGATAGTGGATAGACTACACAACAATCATCCACACATAACCACAATTGACCGGTTCGAGGTTGTGAGCTCATACTTATATCTGGGATCATTAATCACAAACACAGGGTCATTACAAGAAGAGATTAAACGTAGATGTGATCTAGCAAAAGTTGCCACAGCAAAAATGACCAACATATGGAAGGAATGTCAAATTTCAAGAGCGATAAAGATGAGGTTGATCAACTGCTTAATATTCCCAATACTGACCTACGGATGTGAATCTTGGACTCTGTGACAATCGGAGAGAAAAAAGATAGACGCCACTGAAATGTTCTGTTGGAGACGAATGTTACGAATTCCTTGGACCGACCGTAGAACAAATAATTCAATTTTAATAGAGCTAAAAGTTAGCCAACGACTCTCTAGTAAAGTCCATCTCCAACAATTAAAATATTTTGGGCGTGTTATGTGAGCAAACACAGAAAACATGGAAAGACTCATAATACAAGGAAAGGTAGAAGGCCGAAGATCACGAGGAAGATCCCCAACAAGATGGATAGATCAAATTACAGGAATATGCCAAAGACCTATGCATGAATTAAAAGAAATGACCAGAGACAGAGATCTCTGGAGACGGACAATACACGACATCACGTCGACCACTACACTCCCCCTGGGGGGTCAGGATTGAAGAGAACAAAAAAACAAAATTTGTTTAATTTACTATTGTTTGTATTTAAACACGACGAACAAAAATGGTTGTTAAACGACGACATAAAAAAACGATATTACTGTCATACCGTGTTGCCACGTTTAGTAATTGAATAGAAAGATAGAAATAGCTAACAACTACACAAAATTATCTTATCATAAATATGTTATTCTCCTTAACACGTTGGCTGCGATACGGCGAATATATACTGATGGCCAAAAAATGCAACACTTTGTATACGGTTATTTATTTGGATCAAAAGTATTTCTTTGAAGATGATGATGATGACGACGATGATGATATTGTGTTTGGCATGGAAACTAGTCCATATGCCACAGATTTTTGAATGATTTATGTTATGTTTATGAATTAAAACTTGATTATGCATATAAGTGATTACATATGAGTTCGTATATTGATTTCTGATTCGGTGATAGTAGGCGAGTTATGTTTACTGCAAGTTTCACATCACTTTTAACCAGGTTTTTATAAAATGTAGATGAGAGTCCTTTATTTTTAAAACACCCAAACAGGATGTGATTAACATCACAATGGGAAATATTATCGAATGGGCATTTTCCTAATTCTATAATGTTTAATCTAGCCAGGTGAGCAGGAAAAGTACCGTGACTAATTTTTAACCTTGTGATAGTTGCTGGCGATCGTTTGGATATATTATAATGGACTATGTGTGGTAATTCTGTTAGGGGTGGTAACATAGTATAAATCTTGTAATAATGATTATTTGATGTGTTCGCCAATATTTTCCATTTGTCTTGACAGTTTTAATTAATTTTTTTATTATAAAAATTGATTAGATCTAATACTGTGTATATATGTTCTTGTATACCGGAATGAGTAGAATCCTTAGCGAGCTCGTCTACTATTTCATTGCCTTTATCCCGGTGTGACTTTTTGCTCAAATAGTTGTTACATCTTTGTTTTTCATTTTTTTTTAATGTCACATATCAGCTCACATGTCTTATGATCACAAATAACAGAGGAGAGGAAAATGGTGTTGATTTCATAGCACCCAGAGTTAATCTCAAACTTTTAAACTGAATACGATCTATTTTTAGTAAATGTGTATTGTTTGCTGATCCGTATCTGTTAAGTGAAACTTCCATGCCAAAGATGGTGATAAGGGAAAGAGTGTTTAGCTAAGTTAAACTCGTATTTTATTGCGACAGAACGTCCATGATGACGGTAGTTTCTAAACTAGAATTGATTTACGTAAAACCCCTAAATAAAGACAACAAATGTTCCGTCAATGGCACGTAGGTGTGTGTCTATGTGTTCTATTATTATAGATACACTGATTTTCAGCCAAGTTTATGTTGGCATTCATTGACATTGATTTCCCATAGACCCATAAAAAAGGAAAAGAAATTACATAAAAGACATTGTAGCTGTCCTCAATGAGAATCTCGCTTAATTAGTTTGAATGTTAATGAAATTTGTGAGGGTTGAGATATTTTTTGTTTGTAATCAAAGTAATAACCAAAATTAAAGTAATCATAATTGGCCAAGCTGTTAAGTTTTAGTTTGATATGTAGGGAGTATTTGTTAATTAACCGAGACGCTTTTTAAATGTGAAACGAGCTTTTTCTAATCAGTATATGTATTTAATAATTAAATATTTAGCTCGCCTTCTCCAATATAAGAAACATTATAATTAAATGATGGCTATGTAGCCTGCTAATGAAAATCTGGGAGCGAGAGGAAATGCCGGAAGTATGGAAAGAGAAGGGAGATAAAGCCGTGTACGAAAACTATAGGGGTATCACTCTTTTGGATATAACATAGAAGGTACTCGCCAGAGTCATAAGAAGTAGACTGGAAAGGCAGTTAAAAGACTAGTTTGCTGAATACCAGTGAGGATTCAAAAAGGGCAGATCCATCATAGATCAATTATTGGTGTTAAAAATGATTTAGAGCAGTACGTACGAGCAACAGTTAAAGCTAAACCTCCTCTTTATAGATTTTAAACAAGTTTACGAATCTGTGATATGAAGACGTTTGTACCATGCCCAAGAGTACTTGGAATTCCCGAAAAGATTATCAGACTAGTAAAAATCACCCTAATGAAGACCGACAATAGAGTAAGGATAGAAGGAGGCCTAACAAATTATAGGTTTATTATAATTTGTAAGCATTATAAAATTATAAGTGATTACAGTAATAAATAAAAAAGATGTTGACCTTGACTGGAAGCACGTGTTGTTCACTATTAAGTCGAGGTATTGATTACATAGCTCAGATAGACGTGTGAGAGTTGTTCGAGGGCCAAGAGAACGCTATGCACAACGTAACATACTACCTATTACTTTGTTCAATGGAGAATCTGTAATGGTTTGGGGAGGAATATCTCTTACAGCGCGAACCCACCTTGTTGCTTTATGAAGAGATTCCTTAACAAGTGAAAGTTATTTTTTTTAACCTATTCTCTATCCTTCTATTGTTGGATATCGGTCTCCCCCAGTTCTCTTCATCTTTCCCTATCTTGAACTGTTCTCTGCCATGTGGGACCTCCTTGTTTCCTGATGTCATCTTTCCACCTCATCTGTGGTCTGCCCCTTGATACCTTTGCATTGTATGGACGCCACTTTCCGATGACATTGTTCCATCGTCCGTCTTGGAGACGTTCATTGTGTCCAGCCCATTTCCATTTCAGTTTTGCTGCTTGTTCTATTGCGTCTACTGTATTTGTTCTAGTCCTGATCCACTGGTTACGTTTTCTATCTTCAAGTGATATACCCAGCATTTGTCTCTCCATCGCTCTTTGTGCCTTCCTTATCCTATCCAAATTGATCTGTGTAAATGTCCATGTCTGTGCTCCGTAGTTGAGCACCGGTATTATACAGGAGTTATATACCTTGCTACGTAAGTATAGAGGGATTGTTTGATCTTTTTTGAACGTAAGAAAGTTTGCCGAACGCTGCCCATCCCATTGTTACTCGTCTCGATATTTCGGCTGTTTGATTTTCTCTGTTAGCTCTGATTGCTTGTCCTAGATAGATATACATACTCATTTACCTGTTCTATTTTTTCTGTTTGTATTTTTATTGCCTCTTGGTCTTCCGTGTTTGTCATTACTTTTGTTTTGTTGAAGTTAATTTTTAGGCCTTTTTGCAGTGATTTTTCATGAAGTTCATTCAACATTAATTCCAGTTCTTGTCGTTCCGAGGAGATAAGGAGTATATCATCCGCATATCTAAGGTGATTTAGGTACTTTCCGTTAATACATATTCCTCTGTTTTCCCAATCTGTTGATTTTATTATATCTTCGAGGGTCAAGGTAAACAGTTTAGGTGAAATTATATCGCCTTGTCGGACTCTTCGTTTAACTTTTATATTATCCGCTATTAATTTGTCGTCCAGAATTACGGTCATATTCGTGGCGGTCTTAGCTTGAGTGGAGGAGGAGCTCTGAACTGAGTAGGGGTTCTTCTGTACTTCACGGAAGACAGACTGGGCGGGGGATGTCCTCAACCTCGGCACGGCACGTCCCATATGGCTGATAGGGAAAGTTCCTGCAGATATGCAGGACAGGTACGAATAAGGCATTGCCAAATAAGTTCCCGCGGATCAACTGAGGATATGACATTAGGCAGCAGTAATGTCATTACTGGATTAAGGTTATGGGAAGTAAAAATTCTGTAGGCTTAATTCCAGATACTCACAGGCGTCACTCACATTATGAGTTAAGCGGGATACTGCGACAACAGCAGCGTCTGAGCCAGAGCAGGCGGCTGCAAACAGCGTCTGTTCCCAGAATGGGCGGCTGAAACACACTTACCAACCCGTCTGGCCAGCGTGGTGCCATTTGCTCCTTACATGGGAAATAATTTTCTTTAGTGCATGATAATGGTTGATCAGGTGTTGCACTGTCCTTGATTATTTGGATGAGGTGGGAATAAAAACTATTAACTGGCCGCCCTGCAATCCTGATCTAAATCTCATAGAGAATTTGTGGGATATTATCGATCGCCAACACTGTAGGCGACAACCACCACATTACAAATCAAATCATAACATCAATATTAAAAAAGGGATCATGAAATCATTATACGATAGAGCCAAAATTACTCGTTTTAAAGAAAATTCTTTCTTAAAGGAACATTTTGTTAACAAGTTTTATTAATAAATGATTACCCTTTATCGGAAAATGAACATAGAGTTCAATGGAAAAATTCAAGTATAGTCCTGAAAGAACCCGATGACAAAAAGGGAAAAATCGAAAAAGCGGAACTTTTTTTTTATTTGGTTTGGATTGCTTGATCCATTCAACCACACAAAACTTAAATAAATTTATTTTAAAGTAAAATTGTGGCTTATTCCCAATAAAACTAGTAATCATCTGAACTACCCACATACACCTACATATGTATAAAATTCATAAAGAAACTTACCTTTTTATTATTATTTGACACGACAACCTTCTCTTTTTCTTGATCCGGAAAGGTTTCGGGAACGAAGCTAAATACATAAGGGTTTTTACCACCCCAGCTTGTAATGATATGTTCAGTAGGCACAAAGGTACTTATATCTTTCTTAGATATAAATTTAATTTTTTCTTTAGCTTTTTCAGGCAATAAAGTCTTAACTATTTTAAAGGCAGCTAGAAAAGAAAATCAATTATGTAATATAATCAATAGTTAGAAATAACAATACAGAATACAATAATTATTTTGGCAGAATCACATTGAGAGACGTGAACCATTTATTTTTGAATTCAATAATATTTATTCTTATCATGAACAAAATACCTCAAAAATAAACAAAAGAGAAGACACTACTACATGGCCAAAAATTAAGATCATTTATCAAAAAGCAGTACTCTTGTGAAATTATTTTAAAAATTATCGAACAAATGACAGAATTCAAATGCCTGAATATATCTCTGTCAAGTCATGTAAATATCTAACTAGATATAAGAGACACGTTCTATTGGTTGCTGGTTGTACAAAAAATTCTTCTTCTTACAGTTGATAATCCAATTGGTTATTATTGTACGGGAGACTACCGCTTTGAAAATTTCAACCTAGAGGTTTGTTTCGACCGACTGACCTTTTCCCATCTAAATGATCGTAGAAAAAGGTGTCCAAATTTGCTTTTTTTGGCATATACTAAGTGTTAATCAGCCAGTCACAACCCGACTAATACATCAGTAAGCTCTAACAGTTTTTTTTTAAAGTTTATATGACGGAGCTGTAGTGTTATTTTAGAACACACTAAATTTTCACGTAAATTTATACGTAAATTTATCGTAAAAATACAATAGAACTAGTTAATAAAACAATAGAACATTTTCAATTACCTAACAACTCCAGATTAATTTCATTTGACGTAAAAAATATTTTTCATAGTATTACACCTACAGAAACTTTTGTTCTAGTAAAAAACCTTTTATACCATAAAAGCCCATTGCTATCAGATATTTTTATGAATCATCTAGAGAAAAAACTTTCAAAATATCCCGTATTCAAACAGTTTCTATATTGGTGGAAATACGTATGCGATGTACTGATATGTTTTACAGAAACTAACAGGCAACTTGACCAATTTTTATCGTATATTAATTCCCTTCATAGTCATATTGAATTTACAATAGAAAACAGAACAAAATCAATCCACAAATTTTTTAGATTCAAAAATTTGCAGACTTAAAAACAAACTCAGTTCAGAAATCGTCCAAACCACTTGGTATCATTTTACGTTTACTATTTCATTAATATGTTAAAAGTAGTTTGAATCTTCAATTTCGGTCGATAATAAAATTTTATTACGGGAATGTGCCCTATTAATGTTTAAAACGTGCCTTGTGCGTATAAACCCTGGAACTTGGTCGATAAAAATTAATTTATTATAGGTACTCATCTTAAGCATAGTAATCACTTTCCTTTAGTTTTAAGTAAATGTGCCTATGTATTGATAAACATTTCTTTTTATTCAGTTGTGTCTGATTTTTCTGACTGTTCGGGTTTAAAAATACTTATTTAATAATAATTATGTCGAAAAGAAGCAAATACATGTGTGAGCTAGCAAAACTTATGGAAAACCAAACAAATAGTGTAATGTCTAGCGTGGAATTTGATTCAAATATTACCAATGTTGAGGTAAGTCGGAAATTTTTTATTAAAAAATAACTATATGTTGTTTACTGATTATTTTTTCGTGGTTTTCGGCCAGATTGAAGAAATAACACAAAACTCTCTTTTTTTTTACGACGTTTCAATTTATTTTGTTACTAAATCTTAAAAAAAAAATAAAGAAAATAGAAGAAAATAGAGTTTTGTGGTATTTCTTTAATCTGGCCGAAAATCACGAAAAAATAATCAGTTTATAAGACACGGCTTCTAAAAGTTTATGTTGTTTACTAAATTTTTAAAATAAATGCATTTTATACATCATTACATAATTTAAATATATTGTAGAATATGGATGATACCAATGTGACAGAATTCTACCGTCACAGCGAACCATCGTCATCCAATAGTCGTATTCGTGAAATGGTTTTAAACGAGAAAACTGGATGTTTTGAATCAGCTTCTACCATAGATTCTGTTGATGATTATGATGTAAGTATTAAATCTTTGTACCTATACTGTTTAGTAAAATGCTTTATAATGCTATTCGCTATATTATTTCTATTTAATGAAAACTAAACTTTGATGTACCTATTGTTACAATCTAAAAGAAAAAATACAACTTCCTTAGGTACACACAATTTTGTAAACACATATGTATTAATCTTATTATACCAATGTTAAATTGATACCTATTATTATGATCATCAATTATTATTGATTAAAGTAATTATACAATAATGTAAAGCATATGAAAATTATTTTTCGATGAGTACCTATAGTAAACTTTATGAAAAAGATTAATTTGAATGAATTGAATTTGTTTTATTTTTTGGTACCTGGTAATTGATTAAAAGTTAACTTCTTTAATTAAAATAGACGCTTTCTATAATTTTTTGAAATTTTTATTTAAAATATTATCTAATAATACCTACCTTTTTATTCTTACAGAATATGTCAATAAGTGATGTCTTTAGTAGCGGTTCCTCTGATATGTTTATACCATCGTCACATGAAGAGAGTTCCGATAACAATGAAAGTTGTGATGATAATCCATTTTTAGCCAGTACATCAGGTCGTCCAAAGAAGGGTAGAAAAAAGAAATTTGCAATGACGCGAGCAACATCAAAGATTAATAGGAACAAAAATGAATCTTACATTGACTACAAAGGAAAATTGAAAGCTGCTAAAGAATTTCAATATGACTACAATTGTAACTGCCCGATGAAATGTTCTGAGTTGATTTCTACAGAGTCACGAAAACAAGAATTTGATCGTTTTTGGAGTCTTGGGTCTTATAATGCCCAAACTATCTTTATTGCCAATAATATCCACGAAATGCCGAAAAAAAGAATGTATGGAAGAAACACTGAAAGACGTCTGTATTCCAGACAATATTCCTTACTTATAGGCAAATGTTTATCAATAGTCTTAGAATAACTCCGTCAAGAGTAACAACAGCTCTGAGAAAGGTAAACAATCGTGCTCCAATTCTTGATCAAAGAGGTAGAAAACAAGGTGGTTTAAACAAAGTCCCTGAAAATAAAATTCAGGAAATAATCAACCAGATCAATAAACTGCCTAAGTACATATCGCACTACTGTCGTGAAAACACGTCTGCATTATTTTTACCGGCACATCTCTCATTATTAAAGATTTATGATCTATACAAATCTGAAGTTCAAAACCCTGTGAAATTTGGTATTTATAAGAGGATTTTTTACGAAAAATTTAATTTGAGATTTAATGTTCCCAAGAAGGACACATGCCAGGTATGTGATTCATTTAAAATAAAACTACAAAATGAAACGGATGATCATAAAAAGCAACTTTTACAAATTGAACTCGACACTCATCAGGATTTGGCCCAAAAATCACGAGAAACATTAAAGGCAGATTTAAAACGAGCTAAAGATGAGGATAATGTAGAGTGTTTAACATACGATCTTCAAAAAACTCTACCTTTACCCAAAATTCCAACCAATGTAATATATTATAAGAGGCAAGTTTGCTTGTATAATCTCGGTGTATTTTCAGGCAAACGTAATAAGAGTTATTCCTATGTATGGCTTGAAGGAACTGCTGGAAGAGGAGCTCAGGAGGTTGGTTCCTGTATTGTAAAATATTTAGAAAACATAGAAAGTACTGTTGAACATCTTATATTGTGGTCTGATTCTTGTGGAGGCCAGAACCGTAATATTAAAATAACACTCCTCATGGCCAGTCTTCTTCAAACCAGCCATAATATAAAAACTATAACATTTAAATTCCTGATTTCCGGCCATAGTTTTCTACCAAATGATAAAGATTTTGGGGATATAGAATGTCAACTCAAACGTCAAGAACGAATATATACACCTTTAGACTATATAAATATAATAAATTCATGTCGTAAAAAGTCTCCAATAACAGCTGCACAAATGAAAAAGGAATGGTTTTTGAGTACCCACCAGCTCGAGAAGGCCACAATAAACAGAAAAGTTGGCACCAATAAAGAAAAAATAAATTGGTTGGAGACAAAACAAATTATATTAACAAAAGAAAATCCTTACCACATCTTTATGAAACCTAGTTATTTTGGCGATGAAAGTGTATGTTTGGATATTGAGCGACGAGGACGATTAAATACAGAGAGCTTTTCGGCGCTGCTTATGCAACTCTGGCCCAATGGTAAACCCCTGTCAGAGGATAAAATTAACGATATTAAAAGCTATTTACATCTAATTCCTTCAGACGCTAAACCGTTTTATCTCCGTACGGTCCGTCCCAAACCCTTTTTTCAGTGCGTCATAGTTGTTCGAATTCTCTCTAACGCATTAAGCTAGAAGTGACAGAAAAAAACGTGAGTCGCTTATTATTATACATAAAAATTAGAAAATTAGGTATCGTTTACGGGTATTCGCATATTAAAGCGAATTCTACTTACGAACGTATAATTGGTTGGAGTTTAGAATATGCTAAATATATATCCAATCAATTATGCATATAAATATAATTTGACACAGATGATCTTGATAATGACAGTGACAGTACTTTCACAACAACTGATAAAATGATAATTGCCATGCCAGGTTAGTATTTTCAGACATTTTAACTACAGTGAAAATTAAATTCTGTATTTATTGTCATAAAAATATTTGAAATATTCCGAGATATACCGAGAATGAAAAAAGACTAATATTAAAATTATTAAATTAGTTTCAATTAGAAAATGAGGCTGAGTTATCTTTATTTCAGTTTCTGTCGCTCGCGAATCAGATTGTGAATTCCGGAATGATATTGAGGAAATATCTTAAACTAATACCTTTATGGATATTTATATGTATTAAAACGGTTCTTTTTAGAACCACGACATTTTCTTGAAATGTAGGATATAATTGATACCAGCCACATATCTAGTGTAATCATTGATTTTCAAGAATCAGATTCTGAATGGGATTATAGGTGCTTCACTATTTAAACTATTTCCACTATTTAATGACAACTCTTCACAAAATTAAACTATTGGCTGCCACACAAACTTATCAGAAAATTCCTTATCCAAATATGACTGATTTAAATCGATATTATTTTATCGCAGGAATGTTTACTTTGATGCCTTGCAATTGTCAGTAATTTTTTTTACCTTGCAGTCAACTCTTAAAAGATTCTAGGAGGAAGCGTTATTTTAAATAAACAAACCTTCCAATTCCCTAGTGTTTGTAATAAATAATAATAAATCCATAAACGAATCTTAGCTAATTAAGCACTTTCCATGGAATGTATAAAATAGAACAGAATAGAATAGAATTATGACAAACTGCTATGCATTAAAAAAAATAACCTTTTCACGTTTAGCCGATTACGATCCTGCAACTGTCAGATTTAACTAAAATGTCATGCAATAATTCTCGACATTCTTAAAATCCTATATGACGTCAAAATTAGTGACGCACTGAAAAAAGGGTTTGGGACAAACTGTATTTCATAAACCTACCCATACTTGTTACGAATATTTATTATTTGTATAAAATGTATTTAGTTAATTTTTAGTTCTATCATGTTACCCAAAATTTCCCGTTGCTACTGTTCCATAAACTATGTCAAATATAATATCAAAACGTCAGAAAACAAACTGTCACCGCTTAGGGAAAAATTTAAATAATTTAATAATTTAGCAGACAGCAAGAGAACAGTAAGTAATGGAAATTAATTAGTTTGTTTATATTGTTACTTTTATATATTGTAGGAATTTGATTTGCTTTTATGCAAATAAAACAGTAAACTACAAATCCGTCAATTGCTGGCTGTTCAATAAAGATAAATTCTCAACAATACTGACACGACTATACACAATTTATCATCCTACACAACATAAATTTACAGCCTACCATAGCATGTTACTTAGATTAATAGAAATTCCGATGTCAAAATACAACTTTGAGATAGAATTAAATATCATTAAGCAAATAGCATTAAACAATGGGTATAACGAACAACAATTAATAAAATTTTAAATCAAAAACTACACAAGAAAGCCCTGAAATTAGTATTTCCACCACCAGAGAAAAAACCCAGTACCTTCTGCTCGATTGCATATACAGGCAAGATATCAACAAAAATTGCCAAACATATTACAAAAAAAAAAAAGAAATAACACCAGATTTTATAACAAACAACAACTTAGGCAAATATATTAAAAACAAGAGCCAAAACAAAAAGAACTTACACGGTGGTGTATACAAACTTAAATGGGGTGACTGCTCAAAATCTTACATCGGTTAAACTGGTAGAACTTTTATCAAACGTATAGCAGAACATAAATGAGCTTTTAATAATAGAAAACCAGATTCTACATACGCACTTCACCTTCTAGATCATATTTATTCTTTTAATGTCGAATATCAAATTCTTCACATCCAAAATAAAGGCCTTAAGATGTCTTTATTGGAGTCTATGCAAATTAACAAATTAAAAAATACAGACATAATTCTGAGTGACCAACTTGAGACAAACAGTATTCCAGTCCTCAACCTATTCAGTTAAAAAACTATAAAGTTTTTCAGTTTTTTTCAGTATTTTATAGTTATATAAAATGAATTTCCATCAAGTAACAGTCGAATTCATGACTCGATTAAATAATTGTTATGATTTTTTTTGGGAATAAGCAAGTTTCTGGTTAGATTTGCGATGGAGTATAATTTTCTCTACACTTTGTTCATACAGAACATGATACACACAGAACAATCGTTTTAAATGCATCCACAACTTGCTTAGAGGTCGAGCAATGTTGATACTGAATGTCTTTTTGATAGACGGGCTTAACAAGAAGGCATTTAGTACCAAATCAGATCAAAAAGGTGGATTAGCAATAAATCAATGCTCACTGCTTCATTAGAACGATGATTTATTAGACAATCATAAAGAAAATAGCAAGAAAATATTCTGAAGGTTCATTAAAAGCATACTTATCACGCTTATTTCATACAATACAGTATAAATTATTTTAACGGCTTACTATAACAGCTCCTATAGGAAAACAGCTGGATGATTCATCCTATATATATATATATATATATATATATATATATATATATATATATATATTATATATATATATATATATTATATATATGGATATATTGGGTTTAGTAGTCAATATATTGGCCTTTAAGTAAAACTCTTTTAGGTTTGCTAAGCTTTCGAGTTTATTTTACTCTTTTTCAAAACATACTAAAAATTAACATAAAAAATTTACATTAGAAAAATGAAGTTCTTATGTCTTAAATAGGCTTACCCTTGTGAGAATTGTCTTTTAAAATTAGCAAAATTTTTACATTTTGTCATTATGTCATTAACATAATGACATTAAATTTGATTTACTTTTTATTTCTGTCAAAACTTATTACTAAGGTTTCCATATCTCTTCTATTTTTTTATATTTATTTTAGGTGAGTTTGACAGAAGAAGTGTCTATGTTTATGCAAACCTTCATTGCAAATTTTGATATAATATTAGTTATTAAACAAGCAACAGAGTTTATGTTATTAAGTATTTAAGAAAGAAAAAATACAAATAAAAATAAATTTTATCTCATTTGAACTTGGAATAATCCCTTTCATATGCGTAACTTTTAAGAACTTTTATATTGTTATTCATTTATTTAAAAGAAGATTACTGTATATAGCACTAAGATTTTCAATGTCTTCTCTTTTGTTTAAGGTGTTTTGTGTAGTTTTAATTAAACACATTTCTAGAAACAGTCTTTTGTTGTAATTTCTTTCCCTTCTCAATATTTCTGTTTGATCATAGTTAGGCGTATGGCCCATTGTAATACAATGTTCACTTAATGCACAGGCTTGTACTTTATTCAGATTAATATCACTCTTGTGAGATGTTAATCTTCCGGATAAATTTCTGGACGTTTCTCCAATATATATTCTATTACAATTATTACAGGGTAGAGAGTATACTACATTGGAGCTTTCTCTATTATTTAAGGGTGTTTTAAGTTTAGTATATAATTTCGATATTGTTTTTATATTTCTGGTTCCAATTTTGATATTAGGTACTTCTCTAAATGTATTTAGTAGTCTATTTGTTAAACCTGGAATATATGGTAAAGAGTGGTACAATGTATTTTGGTTGTTTGTTGAAACTTCTGTTTGATTTGTTCTGATGACTTGAGAGATACCAAAAATAAAAGTAGGGTTATAAGTTTATCACATCCTGAATATAAAACAGCCGGTCTTAAAAAACTAAAAACGATCATGTTAGAAAATTCCTTCCCAGCGAAACTTCTAAAGAGACTTATTTTTGGTATCTCTCAAGTCATCAGAACAAATCAAACAGAAGTTTCAACAAACAACCAAAATACATTGTACCACTCTTTACCATATATTCCAGGTTTAACAAATAGACTACTAAATACATTTAGAGAAGTACCTAATATCAAAATTGGAACCAGAAATATAAAAACAATATCGAAATTATATACTAAACTTAAAACGCCCTTAAATAATAGAGAAAGCTCCAATGTAGTATACTCTCTACCCTGTAATAATTGTAATAGAATATATATTGGAGAAACGTCCAGAAATTTATCCGGAAGATTAACATCTCACAAGAGTGATATTAATCTGAATAAAGTACAAGCCTGTGCATTAAGTGAACATTGTATTACAATGGGCCATACGCCTAACTATGATCAAACAGAAATATTGAGAAGGGAAAGAAATTACAACAAAAGACTGTTTCTAGAAATGTGTTTAATTAAAACTACACAAAACACCTTAAACAAAAGAGAAGACATTGAAAATCTTAGTGCTATATACAGTAATCTTCTTTTAAATAAATGAATAACAATATAAAAGTTCTTAAAAGTTACGCATATGAAAGGGATTATTCCAAGTTCAAATGAGATAAAATTTATTTTTATTTGTATTTTTTCTTTCTTAAATACTTAGTAACATAAACTCTGTTGCTTGTTTAATAACTAATATTATATCAAAATTTGCAATGAAGGTTTGCATAAACATAGACACTTCTTCTGTCAAACTCACCTAAAATAAATATAAAAAATAGAAGAGATATGGAAACCTTAGTAATAAGTTTTGACAGAAATAAAAAGTAAATCAAATTTAATGTCATTATGTTAATGACATAATGACAAAATGTAAAAATTTTGCTAATTTTAAAAGACAATTCTCACAAGGGTAAGCCTATTTAAGACATAAGAACTTCATTTTTCTAATGTAAATTTTTTATGTTAATTTTTAGTATGTTTTGAAAAAGAGTAAAATAAACTCGAAAGCTTAGCAAACCTAAAAGAGTTTTACTTAAAGGCCAATATATTGACTACTAAACCCAATATATCCATATATATTACTCACATAGTCACTAAAGCCCTTTCTAAGAATATATATATATATATATATATATATATATATTATATATATATATATATATATATACAAAAATTATAAATATTTATAGTACTTACCAGTTAGCACCCAAGGCATTTCAAAAATGAGTATATAGTTCAAAAAATAAGGATAATACGAATTAAACAGTCCTATAAGGTATTTTATCACGTCCATATCCATATTACTTAGGCCACATCCTTCCATATCAAAAAATATAGAACAAAAATCTCCTTTTGTAGCTCTGCAACAAAATTAACAAATTAACATGTAAATATGTACATAATACCCATATATACTTGTTTATAAGATAAGATAAATAGACCATATTCTCATAGATGAGAATATGCAAGTAAGGTAGCACATGGCAACAGTTATAGAACAAGAATTGGAGGAAACCATTGGAAAAAAGAGGAATCACCCAAAACTAAAATAATTTGACATATAATGCCAGGAACTTCTAAAAAAATAGTACGATCAAAAAATTGAGCAACATCAAAAAATACGAAGTAAAGACAGTGAGACAAGGTGGAAGTGTTGATAAAACGTTCTGGAAGATCAACGATATGTCAACTATTTAAGATCCGACAAATATTAGGGCAAAACTGGAGGAAAAGGATAATAAGGAGATACAGTTGAAAGATTCTAAAGGTGCCGGTGGGGGATGGCGTCTATGCGCAGCATTATAGTCGGTGTATGACAGAGAAAGTTTTCTTCTTCTTCTGGTTCCTATCCGTTTCGGATGTTGGAAATCATATTGGCAATCATAACCTTGCTCGCTGCGACTCGAAACAGCTCCATTGAGGTTTTCTTAAACCATGTTCTTAAATTCCGCAGCCATGATATTCTCCTTCTACCGCTTACCTTTGACTTTACCTTGCAATATAGACTGCAGCAGGGAGTAACGGTGTTTTTAATTTTTCCTAGAACTTCCTTGTTCGTGATCCTTGCTGTCCATGATATTCTCAGCATTCTTCTATAAAGCCACATCTCAAATGCTTCAAATTTTTTAATAGTGGTGTCTGTAAGCGTCCATGCCTCCGCCCCGTACAACAACACAGAGAAAACATAGCATCTCAAATGTCTCATTTTTGTATCTATGGATATGTTGTGACTTTTGAAGATGGCGCTCATTTTGTTAAATACCGTTCTTGCCTTTCCTATGCGGCACTCATTTCCTGTACATTGCTCCACTGTTCGTTTATAATAGTTTACAGGTAGCAATACTGTTTTACTCGCTCTATCTGCGTCCCATTAATGTATAGATGAGCCCCGTTTATATTCTCCTTGCTGATAATCATTTGCTTCGTTTTGTGGGTATTAATGTTTAGTCCGTACTGTTGACTGTACTCGTTTATTCTATCCATTAGCCTCTGAAGTCCCTCTAAACTATCTGCTATCACCATGGTGTCGTCGGCATATCTAACATTGTTTACTTTTTCACCATTTAGAAGGATGCCTTCGTCTATTCCGTAAAGAGCCTCGTTAAAAATTTTCTTTGAGTACATATTAAATACCACGTAGTATTTTTATGTGATCTGTTTCTTCTCCGTTAATTTTCATGTATGCGGTCTGATTCCAGTAGAGTTCTGAAATTATTCTGAGGTCTTTGTCATCCAGGTCTGCCTCTTTTAAAATGTTTATCATCGTTTGATGTTAAACTCTGTCAAATGCCTTTTCATAGTCGATCAAACACGCGTATACGTCGCAGTTAACGTCCCTGCATCTTTGAATCAGTACCTGTACTCCGAAAAGTGCCTCTCTGGTACCCACTGCGTTAATGATACCGAACTGTCTGTCCGATATTTGTTCCTCGCACTTCTTATAAATTCTTCCATGGATGACTCTAAGAAACAGTTTCAACATGTGGCTCATTAAGCTGATTGTTCGATATTCTTCGCACTTTTTAGCCCCCTGTTTTTTAGGTATCGCTATGAATTCTGACTCTAGCGATTTATCAGGGATGATTCCTGTATTGTATATTTTATCACAGCCGTGATCCAATTTATTTCTTCTTCCTCCAAGAGTTTTAAAAATTCAGCTTCGATATTATCAGGCCTACAGCTTTCCTGCTTTTCATCCGTTTTATTGCTTCTTCTACCTCGGATTTAAGTATGTCCGGGCCCGTCATCCTCTCTGAAAATGGATGCCTATAATCCGACGAATTATTCCAATGTTATTTCGTCCACTTTTATAAAAAAAGCTGCATATAACAAACTTTTTCATAAAAAATGTTATCGTTAAACAAAAATTATATTACAAAAATAACATTTAACGTACTACAACGGTGTACTTATAATGCGAATATGAATTATATCAACATAATTTCGTTCAAATTCCACATAGCAGACATTGTACTCCAGTAGATAAGTGAACGATATCTAATAACAATCACAGTAAATGATTGATTAAAAATAACGTTGATTACGATATTGTACTTACCTCTCTAATCTTTCAAACCAGTAGATAATACATTGTTTTACAATATTTATATCTAGAGCACCTTTTGTATGCTTATTGCATTTGAAAACTAATAATTTGCAACCATCTATATCGGTCCCATGTATCCCAAACGCTCCAGAACAAAGTAGTTCCTTACTAATGCTATCTTCACTAATTTCTAAAAAATGGGATATTGTTAAATGATTATTAAAAATGTGGGGTCGTTAGCAAATACTTTTATTTAACTATATATATTTTAATTTTTTTATGTTTTAGCCCTATTTTGATGATTTTTTAGCACACTGTATAAATTTATGAGGGAGTGCCAGAATTATAGGCCAATTACATTGCTAAAATGGATTCAGACCAAATAGAGCCACTACAGATAACATATTCATACTAAGAACGATACAAGAAAAAGCTTATGAATACAACATAGACCTATATAATATGTATTATTGTGATATTTCAAGTCTTGGTGCGCCAAGCAATAATTAGCTAATTAATTTTTTTGATTAATTAAAATTATTTAAATGATATGATTATGACTCTATCACAATTTTTAATTCTTTTATCTCAGGGTTAAATTCGTGCTTCAATATCTATGCTATTACATGTGAAAGGTAAGGTCCAAAGAATACCGGAATAATAAAAAACACATATGATCTAACACTATATATTGAAATAAAAATAATGAAATAATTCACACTCAAAAATTTTCAATAAACAAAATCTCATATAATAATTCTCAAAATTTTTTTCTACGTACGTGAACAATCAAAATTAATGGTACAAACAATATTAGTTGAAATCTCAAAATCCAAGTATTACTCTAAATCTCCTAATTAAAATATTTATATCCTTTCTAAATTAAGTGTAAAAAATTATGTTATCAATGAAAGAAAAACTGCAGAAAACAAAACTATCTCTCTCTGATGATGAGTGGTCCAAATCCTTGTTATTTGTAGACTATACTATTTACTCGTGGCCGCTCCCTAAGTAATCAGCAATCTTACAATAAATTATTGCAAGTATCTCGTCCTTAATGATCTCCTTCAAATGCACGAATCGTTCAAATTATGCTAGCTTCTTCTTCTCTCAATAAACTGAATCTCTCGTTGGCCTGAACAGTGACTCTTGGAATATAAGTAGAAAAATATGACTTACAATATTTTACTGGATCAGCTTCTGTCAGATACACTAACTACACGAAAACTCACAAACTTTCACTGCTACTGCTTCCTACCTCTGGGAAACTACCCGAGAACAACGGCCGTTCGCCTTGCACCCTTGGAAACCAACTACTCTCTTTTTCACTCCGAAATCTCGCTAAACTTTCATTCCTACATACCTCCCACCTTTTTTAATCTCCGCCAATCAAAACTCGTCACAATTCCCCATTCTTTCATTCCGATAACAAACAAATTTTTACCTATAATTATAAAATTTCCTAAAACTTATTTACAAATAATATTTTTCTATAATTCTTAAAAACTAACAAAAACCTCTTTCTAAAACATCTTCTATTGTCTTTAATCGCTGCGTTAATGTATTTGGAAAAACCCGGTTCAATTGTCTTTGGGATTTCACTTAAAATTAGGCGGGTCACTCAAATATAGTATAACAAAGGAAATAATTTTATGCTTAGCTTACATTTTGTTTAATACAGGTAATCCAAAAATTTAAATATTTTCCTTCTTCGAAATGTTTGTTGGGTATTATCCTACTTATCTGAATTATTTTAATGTTTTTGAATTTTGAAATATTTTAAACAAACCAATATTTTTCTCGATTTTATATATCATAATAGTATATAGACTTTAAACAAGCTTTTGATAGTGTGAAAAGAGACAGAATGCTGGAAGACCTTTGTAATCTAGGTATATCTAAGAAATACATCAGCCTCATAAAAATGACGTTGCAGGGTTCAAAAGCCGCAGTCAGAGTAGATGGAGAACTGACTCCCCTGTTTAACATCAACATGGGAGTAAGACAGGGAGATGCCCTATCAACCATGCTATTCAACCTAGTAGTTCTTGAGGCAGTCATCAGAAAAAACCAATATAACCGGCCATATAAACACCAAATCAGTACAAATTACTGCATATGCAGACGATGTAGCCATCATTAGTAGGAATAAGCCACGACTAATGGAAGTGTTCAAACAAATTGATCCTAAAGCAAGAAAAAGAGGTCTCAAAATAAACGAAGCAAAAACCAAGTATATGACAGTCAAAAGAATAACTGACAATGAAAATAGTATCACAATAGACAACTATACTATCGAACGAGTGGATGCCTTTACATATCTCGGCACAGAAATCAATCAGAAGAACTCCGTAAGTAGCGAAATTAATGCACGTATTTCCAGCGGGAATCGTACATACTATGCTAATAAAAGATTGATGACATCGAAATTATTAGACAAAAGAACCAAAATGACTATCTAAAGAACACTGATTAGACCCGTAGTAACCTATGGATGTGAAACTTGGGTAATGACGAAAAAAGATGAAGCCCAACTCAGGACATTCGAGAGAAACATACTGAGGAAAGTATATGGCCCGGTACAAGAGAAAGATAGCACATGGAGAATCAGGAGAAACGACTAGGTTAATGAGTTAAATGAAGGTTATGACATTGTAAGATTTGTGAAAAGTCAAAGACTGTCATGACTGGGACATGTGCAGAGACAAAACGATGCAAAAACAACAAAGAAAATGTTACAATGGAAGCCCATAGGAAGGCGAAAAAAAGGAAGACCCAGAACGAGATGGTTGGATGACGTGGAAGACGACCTGAAAACAATGAATGACATAGCCAGACAGGCAAAGAACCATCCAGGGTTATGATGCCAAAAGAAGAAGAAGAAGTGTATAAATTTATAAATTTTAATTTGGTATAGTCAGTTTTTCGATTTTTTATAGATTCAGATATATTCAGAAATTTTATATTTGTCTTATTGTACGGGGTTAATAAAAACGTGATTTTATTATCCTTAACTTTAAAACATCCTGTGCAATAATTCCGTTTGCGAATTTTTGTAAAATCTTCTTATTTTTCGGTTGCAAACCATGTCTCCTAATCATTGTGTTTTTTATTTCATGTCAAAATATGGATTGGTTCATTTTTTAGAGCCAAATGAATTTGCCACCCACAATTTAGGACTTTTTTTTAGGTCTATTAAGACACCGACTAACACTCCACCTTCGCTGGAGAAAAGCACGTCACTAAATCATTCGCAGCAAGGAGAGTTGGAGAATATTTATTTGTTTTCCGTCTCTCAAACAAAAAATAATGTTATTCCATCTTTTTTGGTGATGACAGATCGGGGAATGCAAATTGTAGATCCCCTTGTCGACTAATTCATCAATCTGTCTGCTTTCTGTATTGTAGAAAGCACAGTAAGCAAATATCTGAATTTTAGTTTCGTCAAGTAAGAAATCTTCAGATTTCTACTATGATTGTTATTATTTGCGTTGTAAAGCCTATATATTATTATTTTTATAATTATTCTTGTCGTAAAAACAACCTATTTATAATATTGTAATCGTAATATAGTTATTTTATCAGCTGAGCTGGTGCGCTCAGGTCATCACCTCTCGTGTTAATGTGTTTGCGACCCTCTCTCTCAAAATCTCTCTTCACCCCGCGTTATAGGACTTTGGACAAGGAGTGAATTTGCCTCTCGGCAAGTGAAGACGGGGTGTGTTGTCGATCCTCAAAAGTGCGTGAAGCGGAAGTCACAGATGTGTTTTGTGTTAAACCGTAAACAGTTTTGTTTCTCTCAATACTATGTATCTTTGTTGCTGCCTCTTAGCACTGTAAAGATAATGATATTTGTATAACTCTTTTTAGTATAATCAGAATTGCGATAATTATCAATGTTGAATCAGCCCTATAAGTTCGCTATAAATAAATCGAAGGAAAAATACCTCTTTGCTGTGTTTTATTGCTTCAGTGGTCCTTAATAAATATTTTGAAGCAATTAGCTGTTCAACAACGCCTCTCTTTAGTGTGGAAAATCCTCTCCACCAATTTTTTTATGATCGGATATATTTATCTGCATAAGTCTCTGAGGAGACCTAATAAGGTCGAAATGCATATAAGCGGATGGCAAGCATTGAAATTAAATATCAAACGTCTTTCTTTTCTTTCGTACAATGAATTGTGTTCCATATAGACATTAAAAACTAGCCGAATCTGTATACAACGCGTTAAAATCATAGAAGAGAATTAGAAATTCAAAACATTTACCATTGACTTTTTGTTCTTTCCTCCACGTTATTGACGACCACATCATATCGCGGGTTTTTTCTGGATTTTTCTCTTGATGTAAATAAAATCTCCGTAGCCAGTCATCATCGGTTTTTACCCTTTGTAAATCTTTAGGATGAATACCTGAAAATATAAAATATTAGGATCTTAATCTTAAATAATATTATTATATCAATGTAAATTGTAAAAATCAAAATTACCTGTATCAGTATTAATAAAATTACAAATGAATCATTATAGCATCAAACGTACTTTAAAAAACCTATTAATTTAATTTTTTTAATGATAAAATAATAATATTTAATTACACGTTATATGTATTACATATTCTTTATTACCGTATTACTGTAAAAAATTAATCGAATACACAATTATTAATTAACTGTGAAAAGTAAGATTTAGATGACCTTAAAATAGCAAAACTTATTTAAACTTTCTAATTATGTGCAATATGCGGAATAAATTTATAAATTTGTTAAAATTTCTAAAAAACTTTTTAATTATATGAGTCTTAAGATTGACTTTTACATGATCCATATACAGGTACAATATTTTTTGAGTTTAAAGGCCATAGTATGGAATTTTATTATTTATTCTTGTCGTTTTATATGGGTATAAGGTATTTTTACAGCAGATTCGCATACTTCTTTAGATCATATTTTTTTTGGCACTTCTTTAGTAAACACGTGGGGTTTTGATGTGGCTATATCACCTAGGACAGCTATCAATATGTAATGAGATTGGAAAACCAATCTACCCCTAGCCTTTGTATTGCTTATTTCGATATTCTTAAGGAGCGTTTTCAAGTTCATAGACTCATCAGGGAGATTATCGTCGACGAAGGTTGGGAAGAATGGAAAAAACCAGTTGAGGGCGCATAGAGTCCCAGTGTTAGGGTCCGAATTGTCTTCAAAACGGGTTTATTGCATATGGATGGGTTTAACCGGTATTTAATAGCAGATTTGCTTTGACCACATTCTTGTTGGCTGACGTTTAGTAAGCGCTTGGCCAGACATATTGTAAGCTACCTCGTTCCAATATCGTGCGATATTGTTTCATATTCGAAGAGAAGTCGTAAGGATGGGACTGTTTTGTCGTATTAACGGGTTGCGGGGTGCGGTTGGGGGATATTTCAGAGTGTGACCCTCCTAGGGCATACGAAGGATTTGTGATGAACGAATTTGGAGCAGATTGTGATGTTTAGTGGGCATTACAAACATAATTTTTTTGGGCGATTTTTTTTTTTAACGACAACTTACTGGAGGCACTGAAAAACAGATTCATGTCTACATAAAATGAAGAAGGAGATTTATCTATATGTCTTTAATCTGTACTTTTCTATCATCTATATCCTTACACACCCCCAATGAAGCTCCTGACTTAAGCAAAGTGGTCTTCGTTAAGTATTTGAACGATCAGCTTTTTATTCATCTACTTTTGTTAGCTTTTTCGTTTTCAAATTTTCTGGAAGTTTTTAAGAATTGGAGTAGGTTTCTGACTGTTTCGGGCCAGACTGGGGGAAAGGACGCTTCAATTTCCGGTGGTGTTGCGGATTCTGTTTTTTAACTTATCAGACATTGATAATGTGGTATGTATAGAAATTTGCCACCTGTTCTTAGGAGATTTCTAGATTGGTTGGGAAGAGCTCTGAAGAGCTTTGATAATTTGGTAGAATTTGCGGTGCTGGCAAATATTCGTGTGAACGTTCTTAATTCTATACAATATTACAAAATTAAACATAAATAAATTTTTCTGTTGAAATAAGCCTTACTTAACAATTTCCGTTAATTGCTTGTCTAAATAGGAACAAAGTACATATAAAATTATACTTTATAACAATCATTTCATTCGACCAATATATTTCATGCACACCCTCCATAACTAAGGTATTAAAGAAAATTAACTCTCCTAATCAAGACCACGCCTCTATTTATAAATACTCATATAAAAAATAAGAGCTGCCTCTTTAAGATAAATAAATCGATAGCCACATAACGATACGACAAAAATAGCATCTTTTATGTTTGACAAGAAATGGAAAAATTAAAGGAGTAGGAAAATCGATTGGATATAACTTCGTTTGTGATCTGAATATAACAAAGAAATTGCATAGATTAATACACTCTAACCACAAATAAATTCCTATGTTTGTCTACACTGAAATATACTGATATGTACCTACATATTAAACAAAATTTAAACTAAATTAACCCTTAAGTACATATGCGTAGTCTACCAGACTACGGCTGTTTAAAACTGTAATATCTACCGTAATTAATAAAATATTTAGTTTTCCGTCAGTATACTCTCAAATAGCATTAAAACATGTCGCCAGAGTGACCAATCACGACGCAGATTGTCATTTTGGCCGACCAATCACAAACAGCGTTATTAACTAATTGTCATTGGCTTCCCAGCGGAAGATTGCTGCTAAATTGCAAACACAAAGTGTATAAAAAGGCAGCACATCTTCCGAACGGAATCTAGATTAAGATAACAGGAATATAGCGGAGATGCGCTGTCCTGAGTTTTTTGCAATCGGTTAGGAAACCATGTTGGGGTTCTATTACCCAGGACCTCCACATGAAGAGAATTTGGCTGATTGTTGTGCCTCTATAGCGCATCAGAGTGCCTTAAGGGGGAAAGGGATGGTCTAGAGCATTGGAGCACGGTGGGTGACTCCTGTTTATTATTACCTGGGTAAACATTTCTTCGATCTAAAAGACATCGAAATGAAGATGATTCCAAAGCTCTTGGTGTTTTAATGAATACGAATATTTGCTTAACCGATCATAAAAATGATTTTTAGTATTTTTTAAATTTTTAGTACTTTGATAAATTAGTTACTAACACTTACGAGATAAACGAACAATGGGAAACACTAAAAAACTGCCTCCTCGCTCCATGCAAAGAGATTAAAAGAACCGACACTAAAGAAAGACAATTGGATGACCGACGAGATACTCGGCATGATGGAACAACGAAGACAAGCCAAGAACAAAGACAGTCACAATTACAAAATCATTAATAATGAAATCAGAAAATAGATAAGAGAGACAAAACAAACTTACTACGAGGAAAAATGTAAAGAGATAGAGGATCTTCAGAACAAATACGACCTATTCAACATACATAAAAAGGTTAAAGAAATGGCAGGGCTGCAAAAAAGAAACCACAACACAACTCTTCTAGATAAAAATGGAAATAACAATAAAACCGTATTGTCAGATGTCGCTATTGCGTCCGTATTGAAGCCATTTTAGTGTTGCTGCTTAAAAGACAGAAAATATTGATCTTTCACGTTGAGAACACCTTTGAATAACTGTTCTGATGAGACCTATTAGGTCGAAATACGTATCGACAGATACAAAGGCGCTTTTTGCGTGAAATCAAATATTTGCTGTCTTTTCACTTAATACAAAACATTTTTTTTTTCATAATTTATAATTTTTATTTACATTTGCAGGTTTACTTTACTTATGAAGCCACATTTCAAATTATATGATTGTTTATATTAAAATGGTCGATTCTGCCTCAAATATTATATTCTCGCACTTTAAGTTTATAAACATTAAACATCAAACTCTTCGATTAATTTATATATTATTTATTCTGTCCATTATTTTTTAAACAGTGATAAAGCCTGTTCTCTAACATTTCGAAAAACTATAAGCTAAAGGTCCCTACACGCAGCTGTTGTTCTTCTCTTTAAAAATACCAATTCTCGAGGTTGTGTTTAGATATAACAATTGACTTTAGATATAAACATGGGAAGAAATCTAGAGGTGCTAGCTCGGGTGATCGTGGTGGCCATTCTATTACTCCTCTTCGACCGATCCATCTACCAGGAAATCAGATCTTCTTGCAAAATCATGTTACCAGCCTCATCAATTTGATTTTCCAAAGTAGTCGTTATTAACGGGTTCATTATTTGTTTCAGCAGATTTAAGTAGAGCTCACCAGTTACATTTTCCTCGATGAATAAAGGTCAACAATAGTATTCCCAAGAATACCAGTCTAAACGTGCAGTTTCTTGGGATACTGTGTATGATATTCCCTAAAAAGTCGCGGATTTTCATCACTCTAGTAGCGACAATTTTGCGTGTTATCCATTATGAAAAACGTACACTCACCAGTAAAGCAAATATTTGGCGTGCAATTATTAAATCCGTCATTATTTCGCAAAATTCCTCCTTCTTCTCTAAATTTCTTTACCCAACATCGCGGATGATGCATCACCCATATTGTACCGCGCTCAAAAACGCCGCCGAGCAACTGTATAGGAATCGTTGGCTTTAAAATACGCCTCAACCATGTAGGCACGTTGAATCTTCGTCCACTGTTCCATGGTATGGTAACTGAAATCCGCATGCACATGTCGGCTACACCGCTGACGTACCGTTTCCATTGAATTTCGAACAGGGTCGGCGTAAGGTAAGTTTAAATACTAAAATCGACTCTGAGACACCCTGTATATTAAAGTTGATTATAAAACAAAGAAAACCAGAATTTTTTTAAGCAGTAGGGACTGTATATATGTAACGTAAATACTCATAATTTTCACAAGAAGGCATGTGATTTCTACATATCTTACCAATTTTGTTAATATATATAATAACGGATCGATTACGGCTATCGCCACTTCTTCCCCCCCCCCCCCCCAATTTCCATCTTTTTCGGTCATATGCAGTTGCTTCTTCTAAGTCTCTTGCCGCTATTGCTTCATCAATATCGTTGCGCCATCGTTCGTTTCTAACTCTCTACAGTTCGATCTACCGCAGCTTCATCTCAGATAATCCATTTCTGTCGTCATAAGTTTGTTTCTATTAGCTTTGGTGACGTCCCATACTTCCGAACCGTAAAGTGTAATACTTTGGACTATACTACCGTAAATGTGTTTTTTGGTTTTTCGTCGAATTATTTTTTGCCAGAGAAAAGAGTTTAAGGCACGGGTCGCTGCTCTGCCCTTGTTTATTATTTCCCCGATTTCCCTGAAAATGACCCCCAAATATTTGCAGGATTGCACGCCTTTGATTTTGTCGTCTTCCAAGACTAGGTCACATATTTCATTTGTTCCCACTCAGAGATATTCACATTTTGTCATATTCAGGTTTAGACCTGCC